AACTTTGTATTTTCTAAATGATAACCAAAGTGGACACAAAGTCCTGCTTTGTACAACTCACTAATAAAACCAAGGTCCCCAACAGGGCTCCTCTTAATCTCTTTGCACCACCATCAGGCCTTGGTTTCTACACCGCCTCTCTCAAAACTCATTTGCTTATATTGTAGGTTGTGAGCCTAGCATCTCTAGCCCTAGAACTGACTTTCTATCATGCCTTTCTATTGTTTACATCTGGACTTTCTGATCTTGTTCTTCCTTCTCTTAATTCACTTAAAGTATCTCACCTCTATTCTTTCTACCCAGATGCTTATTTTCCAGATTTGAGGAAACTCTTTCAACATTTCTAACTCTCCAATTCGTCCTCTCAAGAATCAGTATGGGAATGCTGTGTGTGAGAGAGAAGAGTGAGGAAGAGGAGGAGAAGCAGGAGGAGGGGGAAAGGAGGAGGCAGAGGGTTCAGGAGGAGAAAGAGTCAAGAGCCATAAATAAATTGGTGGCTAAATACAGCTGCAGACTCTTCTTGCACTGAGGTATCTGAAGCCTGCCGTTTAACTGAACCCCTTTGCCTGGCTATTTTAAGCTGCACAAACTTGCAAGGGAGAAAGGACACTTTAGGTTGAAGAGGAACTGCAGAACTGTCTTTGAATGGTCAGCCGTCAATCTGAAGTCAGGTGAGAATGTTGACCTTTCTCCCAATCTATGATTGGGGAATTTCTCCCAATCTATGATTGGGGAATTTCTCCCAATCTATGATGCCTACAGCCCCAGCTAGTTCTAGGCAGGGATTCTATCTGATCAGGACTGGCAACTTTCTATGAGGTGACAAGAAGAAGGAGAAGAGGAGGAGGAGGAGGAGGAGGAGGAGGAGGAGGAAACCAAAGAAATTATCTTCTAGGAAATTCCCTTCATTTCTCCAATGCCCATTCTTTCCTGGCAGCAGGTACTTGCAAGGTACATTGATGTCTTGCTGGCCTCCAGGCTTCCAGACAGAAGTCTCAGAGCTCCGTAAGAATCATACTGTCAGCTGCTCTATGCTCACCCTGAGAGGCAAGGACAGAGATTGTCTCCTCCTTAAATTCTGGCCCTGCCTCTTGCCCTTTAGCGGTAAACTATACAATTGGATTTATACTCAACCTGACCTATTGCTCAATTGAATTCAGGGAGAGAGGGAGGAATTGAGGGATTGCCTGTGCCACTCAAAGGCCTTTCTTTTCTTAGGAATAGAGAGTCTACCAGAGAAAAACAGCCGAGAGCCTCTAGCGTCATTGTTGTGTGGCCCCCGCAGAAGGAGAAAACTCTCTGGCTGTCAAAGACCTCAAGTCATTAGCATCAGCTGCCGCTCCAAAGGACAAGCCAGCGCCTCTAAGTGGCTTAGTGCACAAATGAGACTCCGGAGACAGCCTCACTCCTGTGATTCCATCCACTCCTCCATCAGCGGCTGGATGTGAAAGGCTCTTGAGAGCCCTTCTCAGTAATTTTTTTTTTAAAAAAACTTTGAACCATCCTTTCTTTACCCCGAGGTCTTAGAATCTCGGCTCTCATTCCCATTTCAGGGCCCCCTTGGGAACTACATAGTACAGAGAGAGCACAGAAGGTGAAACGTTTCAACACCGGAGTTCAGAAACCCAGGCTTTCCCCAGCATCGCTCTCCTAGTTCATACCCATGCACAGACCCTTGTCCTGGAACCTAAAAACCACCGAAGTCCCTTTAGGGGTATGGCAGTATTCCAGATTTATCGTCTTACCCCAAGACATTGGGCAGGAGATAGCTAAGCCAAGTTCCCACCAAAGCGCACCCCCTGTCGCCCACATTTACACGGGACTCCCTGCTAGGTAGCGTGGACGCATTTTAAGGAAGTCTGTTTGTCACCTCCGAGACCATTAGCTTCACAGATCGGCCGCAGCTCAATGGCCAGCGAATCCCACGGGGCAATTTCTCACCCTCCCTTTGTGGACGGGGTTGGGGGGCATACCATTCAAACTCTGGGGACATATTCAAGTACTTCACGCGCTGGCAACGTAGCCAACTCAACTCCTTGTCCTAGGTCCTCTGAGTGCCTAGCAAAACGGAAAAGAGCTGCTCTGCTCCTTCTGGCACCTTCCTTCCGGAGCCTGAAACGGGTTTTGCCAACCCAGGAGTCCCAGAGGGACTCAGCTGCAGGAGGAGGCAGGCCAGGAGGCTCTCGGGGAGGCTTTGCCACTTGGGGAAGGAGCTCAGGATCTGCCTGGTGCGGGTAGGCCAGAAAAACCAGGCTTGTGGCGCTGGAGGGAGCTCCCAGACTAGCAAGAGTTAAAGGGAGGGGACGTGGGCTGTCACGCGTCATTGGGCAGATTATGTGCAGCAAACAAAAAGTGTGTGTCTGCGTGCCAGTCAGTCATTGCATCGGGTCCATCTGTACAACTCTCTCTCTCTCTCTCTCTCTCTCTCTCTCTCTCTCTCTCTCTCTCTCTCTC